AACACCAGTGAGCAAGAGTTCTCATAATCTCCTTACAGAAGTGTACACACAGACTGGCTCAAATTATCGAAAATTATAAAAATTATAATTTTAAAATTATAAAATTCAAGATTTTATCATTTCTAAAATTAGAAAAATCTAGAATGTGAGAAGTCCAAAACAACATATTTTCTGGAAGATACATTTGAGTTAGGAAAAAAATCAAAACCAAAGTGAAAAGATTTAATGAAAGAAGAGACAAAAGAGGTTTTGATAATGGAACTAGAAGTAAAAAAATAAAAAGATAAATTTCCATAGCAGGGTGGAATGATAGGACTGGAGGTAAAAGCAATTTGCAGTAAGTAAGCAAGAAGTTCAGATGAAAGAGCAAATAATTATCTTTAATTCTTTGTGTTGACGCATATGCCTTGTTTGTTCGTAAACAAGTAATGCTCTGTAAAAATCTTTTATCTCCTGCTGTAGTATCATGTTGAAACTTCATGATGTGATGAGAATGATTCTGACTAAACACCTCTTATTTAGGTTTATTCCTTGTGAAATGGTGAACTGTCTTACAAAGATATGCAAAAAGCAAAAAAAAATATTTTCAGATGCTACTAGATTTTTAACAAAAAGAAATAAGAGGACCATAGTGCATTATCACAGAAAATTGCCTCATTCAGGTAACTGTAACCCAGTTCTGCAGCCCAGATCTATTCCCCTCCTCCATCCCTCAGCAGTATTTTCACTGAAAATCTGTTTTAGAATCTGACATGGCTACCAATTAGCATCCTCCCTTTCAATTTTCAGTCTAATAATTTTTGGGAACTAGGAACAAGCAACTTTTTCATCAAATTAACGAAATTGGGTGGGGTCAAAAAGCAGAAGGTACATTGCATTCGAATGTTCTACCTGAGCTAATAATTGGCATGGACTCACAAACTTAAACACTTTCCCACAGACACCATTTCAAATTTTCCTCATAGGATATCCTCTACTACTCTTTTTCTATCTAGCAGATTTCCTCTTTTAAATCTCTTTTTAACTTATTAAGACTATCAGATAACTTTTTGAGCTCAGGTTCCAGATGAAGTCTCATTGGTGCTAATTTACATAAAAACCCAAGTAAAAATTATGGAATTATCATTAAAATAAAGCAAAAAACAAAAACTGAAATCACAGGCCAAATCAGAGTGAGACTGTTCAAAGCCTTTCACTGAACTATTGGGCATCAAAATACTTGATTATTTTAAGTAGTAAGATGGTAAAAATTAATTCTAGGCATTTTTGTCTCTAAATCATCTGTTTCTAATAGATGTCTTCTACAAAGCACTGCAGAAACTAAGGAAAAAAGTATATTCTGCAATCTCATACTTTATGAGTTATTCACTACATTAGTTTCCTAGCCTCAGTCTTCCATAAGCAAGTTGAAAATTAAATTATCTATATATATTTGCAGTTTCAAATAATAAACTGCTATCAAAATATAACACAAAATCATATCAGAAATTATGGATTTATGTAACATTTTTATTTATTTATTTTACTTACATTAGCAAAAATATTTACTTTTCTATACAAATAATTGGCAATTATTTGTGTAGTACTCACAAAGGCTTGGTGGTTTTTTGCTTTTCTTCTACTGAGCTACAGATGAATGCTAAATAAACTGGAATGTAAAGGAAATATATTCACCCCTGAGTAAAAAAAAGAGTTCTCTAGCATGATGTATGAGCTGTCCATGAACAATTAACATTTGTTCAGAAACAAACAATTGTTCAGACATTTTGATCCAACTCACATCCAGATCCCTTTTAATGAGAAAAATTATGCCAGTAACTGAGCACAACAGATCACACGTCTCTATGTCTCACATGTCAATGTCTCTGTGATCTAAAGACGTATAGTAAAATAACTATGTGTCAAAGGGATGACCCCTCAGAATTCACCACTATGAGTATATTTAGGAAAGAAAGAAAGAAAATATTAAGACATAAGGATGCAAAGCAGGAAATTTTTGTCACGCAGGAAAAAGTACAGAAATTATCTTTAGTGATGTGGTAAAAAAAATCCAAAGTGAAGTGCAGTTTGATTAATGACAGTAAGTATGGATTCAGACAGAGGAGATCATGTTTAAATAACCTTCTGAAGTTCTTTGAAAACAATTTTTTAAATGAAAAATAAAGAAAATTCAGCATATATTTTGTGCTTAGATTTTCAAGGAGCATTTGACAACAGTTTTCATAATAGATTCAGCATCAGACTAACAGCTATGCAACAGGAACAGGCTTCTAAGTGGGAAGTTGTGTGAGAGGTGAGAGGTGCATAGTTACAATTATATTTCCATAGTAGCTTTGAGAGTTTTAGAACCCCCTTGTTCAACAATATGCCAATCTAATTAAGTCCTGATCTTCATAAGAGTGACTTTAAAAAACAAAGTATTTGTAATGAGAATTATTAATAAGTATTAGGATTATATTTACTTATATTAATGTATATGGGAACATTCCAGAAAATTTCCTCTTTAGGTTTTAGAGCCTAAATGAAAACAGAATTTAGCAATAATGACATGAAATCAGAAGAATGTGCTTCTCATTAAACTTCACAGCTGGGAGTACATTCAGTGATGTACTCCAGAGAAAACGTGATAGCAGCAACCAGCTCCAAGTGTCAGACCCACTGTAACACATTCAAAGAGACACTTTTTAGAAGTCTGCACCAGGAAGGTGGGGAATCTACTTTGTGTAATCACTGCCAGCTCTGATAGTGCCAACTTCACATCATCCTCTTTCCTTCTCTGCAAGATGGAAAGAACAAGCCAAGTATATTGATGAGATCAGCAAGCTTGGACATACAGCTTCTCTTTGATTCACACCACAGAAAAGGATTTATTTTTTCCCCTAATGCTGCAATAGTATCACAGATTTTGTGAAGGTTGGAGACACTGTAAAACAAATCAATTAGATAATATTTGGGAACTCACACAAAATAAATTGAGACAAAAAATTATTAGCCATACAGAATAAAATATTAAGTAAGGACACAAAAAGTGAGTTTGAAAGTCTCGCAGAAGTTTTAAATAAAGAAAAGGATTCATAATACTAATACAGGAGAGGTATGTAAAGTTAACAGTAAATTCAGTTTTCAAAATCAATGTTTTCCAGTTTCTCTAGCTACTTTTTTTTTTTTTTTTTAATGTCTGAATCATTAAATAATCCCACTAGAAAACACAGGTTTTCAGTTTTGTGTTAGCATATCCTTCTTTCCTCATGTGCAATCAGGACTGAACTTTTTAACAAAAATGAAACTTCTCAGGTCAAGAAAATCTCTTAGAGGCTTCTTAGCCTCTGAATTTAAATCTTGAGATTGGATATATAAAAATGTTGCAATGGAAAAAGGAAGTTTATATCTACCTTAGAAGCAGAACTAAAGCATAAATTGAGAAGGGGAAAACAAACAACACAAATTGAAACAAGCAAACTCCCCTTCTCAAAAAAAATGAAAATAAAACCAAAAAATTGAAACAAACAAACAACTCTACAAAAACAAAACAAAAAAAACCCCACAAAATACCCCAAATGGCAAGCAGTAAGAATGATTGTAAGGAATGATTCAGTGCATGACCTTTTGTTGGACTAAATGTCACAAATCTCTGTCTGATGGTATTACAGAAGCATCTAATCTATAATACACTCCATGTAGCAAATTTGCTTTTTGTTTACATATGCTTGGGTTTTTCTTAAAAGAGATTTCATATACCATCTTACAGATTGGTACTCTCATAAAACAAGACCTTGCAGAAAAAACCAAATGGTTTTGACCCCTCACAGATTAAAACATTATTTGAAATACCTAATGTATGACCATACTGTAAGGTTTTATCATAGATACCACTGGAGGGTAACTGCAATATTTAAAAATATCAATTAGTGTGGAAGTTCAAGTACTGACAAGATGTTTTTTATCACTGAAAGCTAAGATAACATTCTCATGAAAGAAACTAAAGTGTGGCTATATATCTTGTAGACTTACAAAGGCACATAAGCTTTTCTCTGTGGGAAATGAAAGGAGTAGGATTCAGCCTTTCTATGGTTTGTTGCTTGAAGTCATGGTCCTTGTGCTGACATAAAATTTATATGTATATATATTTGTGTATATATAAGATAAATATATATATTATATATATACTTAAATATACAATCCATATTTCCTTTGAGTTACACATACTGGAATGACCAAACAAAGGCACCATTAAGTGCTATCAATAGAACACACATTTGATTAGAGAAGCAACTAGCAATGAAGGCACAGTAAAAAAAAGTTCAAAATGGTGAGTTTGGGAATATCTCCCACCTCACCCTCTTTCAAAATGTTCATTTGATGCAATTTCCACACATAGTTAAATTAACAGAAAAGTATTAGAAAATAGACAGGAGGAAAGATTAGGTGTTTTAATATCTAAACCAATCATGCTACACCATAACTTTAATTGTACTTTGTATCTGCCTCAATTAAGATAGCCAAAGTTCAATTTACAATGAATAAGCCTTGACCCTTTTATGGGCTTGCTTCACAATAAATTCATGTTAAGCTGCCTGCCATATACAGTAATAGTCATCACTATATCGTGGGGGAAAAAAAATAATCAGAAAACAACAAAAAAAAATCTAAACAAACAAGCAACCACTCCTCCTCCCCAGCTAAAAGCAACTTATCAAGAAACACCAAAAAAAACCCATGAAAAGCCCTAAGCCCACAATGAGCATCACAAAGTGATGAGTGGAAATGTCACCGCTCACACTTTCTAACATTCTGCAGCTTTTCTGCATTATGGACAAAAGTTTTATACAATTTTCATTTCAAATTTTGTCTTGGTGAACTACTTGGAATGCACTAAAAGCATCAAAATACTTGTCACAGGTTTTTTGGAAAACAGGAAAACACAAAAAATGAAGCAAAAAAGATGGACTCAGCATATATTGATAGAAACTTTTAGTGTGCAGGTCAGGAAAATGCGGCTCCTCCAAGATGGAGACCAGAACCTCTCTGGGCAACCTCTTTTGCTGTTAAACAATAAAAAAGCTTGGTTAGAAAAAGAAAAGAAGATCACTCATTAGTGGTATCACTAAATAGGGTCAAAAGCAAAGCAGATTGAACTTGGGGATCTGACTCACTGTCAATTAAGATTAAAAAAAAAAAAAAAAAAAGGCAGAAATTAAACTGAAACCAAACTTTTTCCTCATCAAGGAAATAATTTAGGTTGGAAAAGATCTCCAAGTCCAAGAGTGACTGATTTTTGCCTTGTCATTAGATCAGAGCACTGAGTGCCATGTCCAATCATTTCCTGAACACCTCCAAGGATGGTGACTGGACAGTCTGTTCCAATGCTTATCAACCCTTTCTGGGAAGAAATTCTTGATGTCCTACCTGGACCTCCTCTGACACAGTTTGATGCTGTTTCCTCTCATCCTGTTGCTATTTGCCAGGTAGAAGAGGCCAACCTTGCTACTCCCTCCTGCATAGCTGCAGAGCTTGTCCCAAGCTGAACTTCACTCCTCCATTCCTGGCTTCTCCACCCTGAGCAATACATAGGGGTATGCAACATGAACTGTTGTTAGTCCATAACAGCTCCTGGCTGGGGTTCCCTCCTCCTCATGCTTTTCCTTTAATCCAGAGTGTGTTCCCTTGCAGTCCTTCAGGACAAGCCTGCTCCAGCAAGGGTCCTCTGCACAGGCAGCCAGTCCTTCAGAGGAAACACCTGCTCCAAAACAGGTATCCATGGTACACAAAGCGTGTCAGGAGAACCTGCTCCAGCACAGACACTACATGAGATGAGGAAACTCCATGAGCCAGGGAATATCCATACTTTTCCCTCTCCTCACTGCTTTTGCAGTGTTTTCTCCATTGCTTACATGTATTTTCATGAATGCACCACCAACTTTGTTGATGAGATCACTGTGTCCTTTGCATTCTTCTCACTAAAGCCACCCCCACAGGGCCCTATCAAAACTTTGCCACTTATGCTAAACACATTCTTATGCCATGGCATGCTACTTTTGATCTTCAGAAATCTTGAAGTCTATTTTTCAAAATCTTTCTTCTTTGAAACTGCCTCTGAAAAGGTTTTGAGCTAAACAAGAACTCTGCACATACAGATAATACTTCTTTTAAAGCATTATTTTTTTCAAGATACCCCTCATAGACCTGTAATATAAAAGTGCCAGCTGAAAACCTAGAAAAAGCTCTACAAAGGAAAAAAGGATCTTAAAAATCTTTTCATGTTCACACATAAATCTATAATATTTACTCATTTAATGTCTCCCAGCAAAATAGATTAAGCCCATGAGATAATATGTTTTAAAAGAGTGAATATTTGCACTATAGGATACATGACAGTACTCTCATACATAATTCCAAGTGCAGCTTTTCCATGCTCTGGCTCATAGGAGCCCAAAACATAGGCCTTTAAGATTAATTAGAAATAAATAGTGGTGATAATAATGTTCTCCCCCTGACACAGGTTTCCAACATGAATATGGAGGAACTTTTAAGAAGATCATAACCCTACTGTGTAACTTACATACATGTGAACACTTTTATTACTGTTGGTTGGTAATTTCCACCCATACTCTGTGTTTCACTGAAAAATGCCCTAACAGAACTTCTTCAGAGATCCATGTATGACATCTTCAGAAAATCCTAAAGAGAAGAGATGTAAATGCAGCCTATACTAGAGTACTGTTAGGATGTAATTAAACACCATTATATATACTTCAATAAGGAAAAAGTAGCATTAAAATGCTTGTATGGATACGTTCACATATATGAACAATTTAACTGGTATAAAATAAACGGTGGGTCAAATACAAGTGAAGGATTAATCCCAAAAAGCAGCTGTAAAAATCTGAGGGTCTTCCTAATGAATTATCAAATTAGTAGATATTTTATATAATAATTATAAAAATAAAAGCTTTTCTAATGTCTGCTACTCATTAATAGTCATGAGCGTATAAGAATATGCATTTTAGCATCATATCTAATCTTATTTTAATAGATTTAATAGAAAAAAGATCCCATTTCTATATATTTTTTCTCTACCAGTAAAAATCAAATTAACTACTTGGTGCTGTGAATTCTCCTTTGTCTGGACTGAAACTATTTTATATGTATAAGGTTTCTTAATGTTGTGTACTATCTATCCAAAACTAACTTATTCTGCTTATTGTTAGTAGTAAAAGTCATTTATTTTCCAATCAGCATCACTGATCATTCCTTGAGTAGGAAGGCAGTGTTGTTCAGATCTGTCCTATGTTTCCATCTGAATAAATATGGAAAATAGAAAAAGGCAGGGGTGACTGAAATCTGTCTTCAGAGGAATTAATTGGACCACTTGAATATGTTAAAAGAGTAAAGAAAGGAATAAAAAAATGTTCCTAAGGATGAAAAAAGGCAACAACAAAGGGTTACTTCATCCTACCTCCCCCTCACTCAGCATATCTTGCAAGTTTTCACAGGTAAAGGAATTTACAGGATCTGAATTCATTTAAACTAGAAAATGAGGGTCTGCATCTCATTACTCATTGCAGGAACTTGATTCCACACTATTTCAGCAATATGAGACACAACACTTCCATTCCTTATGCATTCTTCATGTCTTCCTGCTGCTCTTGTGCAGTGTTGAGATAAGATTAGATATTTAAAAGTATTGTGGCACTATATTATCATAAATCCATGAGGAAAACAGTAACTTTATTGCATCCTTGTGAGTAAGGATGAAAATGGTTTAGCTGTACATAATATCCTCCTATGCCTCACTACAATAGTCTTTGAAAAAGGTCAAATCTTCAAACTGCAATCCACAATATGCACAGAAATACAATCTATTATACATTCTTGCCAAACAATCCATTGTAAATTAGGTTACATAAATATTATTTTCACATTCGTTCAGCTAACAAGGACACCACTACTTTCAAATCTAAGACAAACACACTTTATGTGCTTCCTGTTCAGTTAAATCGTTTCGTTACTGCATTTAGATGTTTATAGATTGTGTGTCAGTTTAGTTTGGTTCTGTTCTGTTACTTCTAGAAACCCAGTGTTACATTCCCCTTTACCATTTCCACACCCATTCCAGATGGGAGCAGCCCTGGGAGAATGACTTGGGGGTGCTGGTGGGTGAGAGGCTGGACATGCTTGGGCTGTGTGTGCTGGGAGCCCAGGAACCCCCTGTGTACAAAGCAACTGAAAGTAGGATTAAATATCAGGAAAATATTCTTTCCTGTGAGAAAAGAGGGTGAGATACTGGCACAGGTTACCCAGAGAAGCTGTGGCTGTCCCAACCCTGGAAGTATCCAAGGTCAGGTTGGATGGAACTCTGAGCAACCTGGTCTAGTGGGACCCATGGTCTAGTTCCTGCCCATGGTAGAGGAATTGGGACTGGATGATCTGCAAGGTCCCTTCCAACCCAGGAGATTCTGTGTTTAATAGGTACTGTCATTTTTTACAATATAGTATTGTTTAGGTAGTATACATATACAAATATATGTATACACACACACACATCCTTACAAAATAAAGGCCTTGTAAAATCATGGCTCAGGCTTTGTTACTTTGGCTAAGTATGGCTAGCAGCTAGCCTGATAAGTTCCCATGCCAAAACATCCTGAGAACAAGAAGTTTGTTACCATAAACTATTCTTGGGGAGGAAAACAAGTGCACCTGTAACAGCAAGGGATCTGTTCCATGGGAAAATCTAAACACTGTTAGAGAGAAAAAGTTTTGATTGACATGTACACTAACCATTACCAACCAGTGAACTGAATTCCTAACCAACTGGAATTAAGCACAGTGCCTTTTGATAACCATATAAATATAAGCTGTGTGCAATAAAGACTTGGCTATGGTGGAAGAAGAAACAGGTGTCATTGTCTCTACTATGACAACATCCTAGCTTCAGCGTGATTCTGTTGCCTAAACAGAGCATCCTAAACGACCAGATATCCCACCAATGTAGTCTTATAAAGATGACTTATATCACACATGTTCCCAAAATACTACTTAGTGTTCTCCATTTAACCAAGATGGTCTGATCTTATCTGAAATAGCAGTTGATAATCTTTCCTACTAGTTAATTAAGTTTTATGCTTTCTGAACTCTCATCCAATGCAAACAGTTTAGATTATTATTTTAAGAGGGCTTTCTTGAAATCTACTGTATAGAAATGCCAGAATAAATAAATATATTTTTTAAAATATTAGAATCAAGTCAGAACAGTCAGAAACACTGGTGGATTCAGACAATCACCAAATAACAGAAAACTATGTGCACATCAACTGCTTTTCATTGGGAAAAAAGTAATTCTTGTTATTCCAAATGAATATGAAACAATAGCAACTATAAAAGCTTTACCAAAAAATATTCAAACTACTCATCCCAGCCATGGTTTGGAGTTTGGTTACACAAATGTCGCATTATATTAGGAATGGCAAAGCACAACACGGTCTCTCTTCTGGGTTGCAGAAGAGAGCAAGTTTTATTATTCCTGATCTTCTTTTATAGACAGTTCTGAGAAGGTCAGAGGTAAAACTTTCATTGGTCAATAAACCAACACATCACCATCACTGGACAATTAGAAACACCACCCCTTGACTGTTTCTTGCAAGAAAACAAGAAGGCAACAAACAACACCTGCAAAGGTTGTTTTCTATCTCCAAGGACAGTTTGGATTCCTCCTTATGATTTCCCAGGCCAGAGTGAGACTTAGTTTCACACGGGCTCAAGCTAATGCCTGGAGCTTAAAAATCTCTTATTTGACTATTGTCAGTTCCCACACATACAAACTATTACTGACATTAAAGGTTATCCATTGTTTTTAATAAACACATGGGCCCTTTGTTACCACGCTCAGCAAGAGGAATATGACTAAGTGTTGTTAGATAAAACATTCTCCTACATAAACCCTCTGCAAGGATATGTAACAAAAAAGACCCAAGTAAGCAAGGTACCCAAAGGCATCCTGACTTTTATCAGCCATTGTGTGCCAGCAGGACCAGGGCAGTGACTGTCCTGTGCTGGGCACTGGTGAGGCCACACCCCAAATTCTGTGTCCACTTTTGGGCTCTCATGGTAGGAAAGACATTGATGTGTGCCCAACGCTGGAGAATGGTCTAGAGCATAAGTCTGATGAGAAGCAGCTGAGGGAGCTGAGGGATCTCAGCCTGGAGAAAAGAAGGCTCAGGAAGGACCTGCTCACTCTCTAGGACTCCCTGACAGGAGGGTGGAGCCAGATGGGGATCAGACTCTTCTCCCAGGCAAGTAATGACAAGACAACATGGTATGACGTCAAGATGCACCAGGGGAGATTTAGGTTGGACATCATAAAGAATTCCATCATGGAAAAGATAGCCAAGTATTAGAGCAGGCTTCCCAGCAGTGGTGGAGTCACCACCACCCTGGAGCTGTTCAAGAAATGACTGGGCATGGAACTTAGCACTGTGGTTTATTTGACAAGGTGGTGATTTGTCAAATGTTTGACTCAATCTTTTAAATCTTCTCCACCTAAATGATTCTGTGATTAAATGGTGATGCAGATGTTGCAATGATATATAAAAGTTAAATAGTCTAAATTTGACACTTTTCACCTATTTTCACTAGAAGCTTCATGCATGAACAACTAAGTCATCCCAAAAAAGAAGGGGAGAATTTATTTCAAGCTTTAAATACAAATGAATGCAACTATCAGCCAAGTGCCAGGGAACATGACTACCAGGACAAATCTTTCCGAAAAAACATACAGTTCAAAAAGACCAATGACAAAAGCCACGAGTGAAAAATGGTACAACTATATGGTGACACATGGTAACTGTATGTGTTGCTTTAACTCATTTTTTTTCTGCTCCAAATGGTTTCCAAGAAGCTCTGGACAAGAATGGCTGAATCATAGTGAAAAGGAGAATTATTGAAGCCAAGAATATTTAAAAAAAAACATGAGTTCTGTCTGCATAAAAATAAAGTGGGAAAAGATGGGGAAAAAAAGGAGAAAAAAAAAATAAAAGGGGACAGGAGAGCAGAAAAGGAAACAAAAAAGGGGGAAAGAAAGGCAAGCATGAAGGCACAAGAGGCAAAAAGTTTAAATTATATCCCTTTACCTAAGAAGTCGACTACAGAGAGAATCTGAACAGAGGACCTTGGTAGAAAAGGAATGTTCAGAAGAGACAAGGCTACAGCAGAAAAAAAAAAAAACCAACAAAAAAACCCAAAACAGTTTGATTTATACAATCTGGGAAGATTTCTATGTTACAATCTTATTATTCAGGCTACATATCATTGGATGCCTCTGAAATTAAAGTTTTTAAAGAAGCTATTGAAGAAATGAAACATTAAATTGTTCCAAAGAATTTGAATGACAACACATCATTCACTCAGGATTCCTGGGAGAATTTACAAATGAAATGGCATGATGAGATACAAAACAGCAATTCATTCTCCCTTGTAATGGCCAATGTTATCTGTTGACTTTTAGGACTCTATGCCACTGTTTACTAAATAATTTAAATATACGTATCATGTTAAATATCTGGCACTATGCCTACTTAATTCATTAGAAAAATATTTTTAAAAATATTTAAAACTATAATATTGCACAGCACTCTGACATTGCACTGTATTTCAAACCTAATGTACTACATGAAGTAATATCACAATATGTAGCAGAAGCAAAAGAGCATGTTCTTCATAAAGTCTTGGAAAAGGTCCATGGACAAGAGCCAGCTTAGAAGCACAGTTCATGGTGATGAGATTACTTTAAATTACACTAATAACCACATAGTTACCACTAATAATAACCACTTCCACCTTTCAGAAGGAGGAACTACGTAAATATTCTTCGCACCTTGTATTCATATTTTTTGTTATGTCGTATGTACCAATTCTGGCTTAGTTAGAATTAATTTCCTTTATGTTTGTTTAGAGGAAGCTGTGTGGTGGATTTGTGCTGAAACACAGGGATGTATTCGTTATGCTGAGCAGCACTTGCTCAGAGTCAGGATTGAACCACAAAATTCTATTGTCAGTCACAGATTATAGAGAACACTTTAGTTTCATGTAATTTTATTCTGTTGAAAGTGATTTAATTAAAAATAATTTAATGAATCCCAAAATATCAAATGGTTATTTACTGTCATAGAACTATCAGTAATCACACAGAAGTGTTCATAAAATTATCATGGGAAAATAGTCAGAAGAGGTGGTGCAGTCAAACCATGATAATCATAGTGGTAACATGCTTTTTAAAATAGTTCTGTTTAGTAATTTGTTTTGCAGCTGTTTTAACATCATCACGTAACTCACAATAAGGACATTTACAAAAAGTGGTTAAGGAGTTCTCCTTAGAGTCAGTATCACCTCTCAGTACTTATTGGGATACTGGAAAGCTCCACAGGACTGCACCACTCTAACAATTGAAAAAGTATTTATAGACCCATCAATCAGGTGATTCCAAAGCAAAATACTCTACTCAACAGATTAAAGTCTAATTTTTACTAATTTCAGTCAGTGGATCTCATCTCAGCTCTTGTTTAGAGGATCTGAAAGCCTGCATATAGCTAGAGAATTTAAAACTGATAAATTAAGTTCTTCAAACTTTTTTAGAGTGCTTGCACTATATGTTAAAATATTTGCAAGAGAGCAACTAAAATAACTCAGAGTTAGTTTCTTAAACAATAAGCTTATAGACATCTTGTAATTTATTCCACTCAAATGGGAATTCTAAAGGGAAGCTGTCAGCTCATGGGGGAGTTTCTAGTGGTCATTCAGATTAGTTCTCCAAAGTATAACTACTTTAAATCACTAACACTATCAAAAATTCAGTAAGACTTGAGAAAATGCTGACCTCTTAAACAAATCTCTCTTTAGCTTTTCATCTTAATATGATGATATAAAAAGTTATTCTGCAAAGATGATGCAAGATTTCATTATGATATTATATTTGGTAATAAACCCCAAATTTCAAATTACTGCAGATTTTGGAATAAATACAAAAATGCTCAAATTAGCTTATGATTTTTAAGTTTTATATTTTGGTATTTATTTTGTCAGCATACAAGGGAATCAAAACACTGATTTCCAGACTTATGACTCATTTTTATTTCATTATTTGTATTACCAAATCTCAAACATAATTCTAAATTCACAATATTCACACTATATTTTCAAATCAAGTTTCATCTCCCTATATTTAACTGCATTTAGAGGTTTTTTCCACAAAATACTGTGTCCAAGAATACTGTAATTATTAATCATCCCTCAATTCACAGATTTAGCTTAATTCAGTTTTTACCCTCTGTGAATGAAAATATATGAAAACTTACCCTTATTTTAACCCCTGTTTTTCAAACATGCTACTGGTAACAGATGCATGCTTCTTTGGAATTTGATGAATGATGATTTATGAAATACCTTGTGTTTTCTTTCATATAGCATCAAGGATTTGTGAATACTACACTATTCACAAGGTTTGTTTAATTTGGGCTTATTGGCTGTAAACAATTCAAAATGGAAGAAAATAAGGGAGATGATGAGAGCCTCTTTCCACCACTCTGGTTCCACAATTATTTTTTTGTTCTATAAAAAATAACCTTTATTTTTCAAATATATGTCATTAGAGCACATCAACACAATATGTATACTTATATTGAGGCTGCTATGTAACTGAATGGCACAACTAATACAATTTCTACTGGCAAGAGAAATAGAAGAAGATTGTTTAGTGCAAGACTGTATTCATGCAGGAATTGCTGTTGGGTATGCTGAAGATGCCAATAACTGTATAATTTAAGAAATGTTGGATATACAAATATATTGTGCATATGTTTGTATGAGGCATGTGCTTGT